GACACTCCAACCCCTGTGAGACCACATACTCCTGCATTAAGCAGGAGATTCTAAGCTTGAACAATGGTTGGTGCAGGGATCATAAAGAAGCTGTTACTTCAATTCTGTCATTCCGTGTGGCCACTTGGAGTTTTTATTTGTGTTTAAAATTTAAAACAGTGACATCGAGTGTCAATTGCAAAGTGTAATATTATTGCCTGGTAAGTACAACTTTTACTCATACGTGATATTTTTTACTGAGGTTGAATAATAATTTTTAAATGGAAATTTATTCTTTTTAAATTGTGAGTTACACTGTTTAAAACTAAAGAATTGGGCCGGCCCCGTGGCTTAGTGGTTAAGTGCGCACGCACTGCTGCTGGTGGCCCGGGTTCGGATCCCGGGCGTGCACCGATGTACCACTTCTCCAGCCATGCTAAGGCCGTGTCCCACATACAGCAACTAGAAGGATGTGCAGCTATGATGTACAACTATCTACTGGGGCTTTGGGGGAAAAAATAAATAAATAAATAAAATAATAAAAATAAATAAATAAAACTAAAGAATTAAGTAAGAACATCAAGCGGTACATCAGTGGTACGATTCAGTAGTTGCTAAATTATAGGCAACTTTTGCAGATGTCTTACTTTTATTAAAGTTCACTTATTAGTAACTGAACGATGATTTACATAAAATCTCATTTTATCAGGCTGCAGCCAAAGGACCAAAACTCAGCAGATGTCAAAACTATTTAATGAATAGTTGTGCTTTTTTCCTTTTTTGTACTATATTATTTATTTTTTAAAAATCTTGGTGTAGTTATATGTACGGAGTTCAATAAAGAAACAGTTTATTCTCTGTTTTTCTTTTTAGACCGTTATTATGATCATTTCACATTTCATGATTATTTCTGAAGATAATTTTGTCACACAAAGGAAGGGACAGTTAAATGACTGGGTGTCAAGTGGCTGGGTACCACTGCTCTGTGAAGTGGCATGTGATGACCAAGCAAACCCCTCAAGAACTGGCTAGTCTCAGTCACCCAGAGATCTGCAAGAGAACGAAGATTAGTTTTCCCCGGATCATCAATTTCCCTGTTAATGCCTGATGCTCCTTTCTCTAAACACCACCTTGCACAGCAGCCACAGTGACAGTGAATTCTAGAATGTAAAGCTCAATGACGCGAAGGTTTGTGATGACTTCTCAGGGCCAAGGATGAGAAATCTGAGCAGGTCCCACAGAGGGTGGTGCTCCGGGCAAGGTCTGGCCCCTGCCCAGGGCCGAAACCAGAAGCTGGCCCTCCCAGCAGCCAGAGTGTGTGGTCTCTGCAGCCATGACCTACTTCCCACTCTTCCGGGAACTGGGCAGCCGTGACAAAGCAAAATTAAGCGAATTTGGAGTGAGCCCATGCTAGAAAAATTTCTAAACAGTGTTCACCTTTTTCTAGGGATGGGAGGCAGGTATCACGGATAGAGGAAGAGTCTAATCTTGGAAATTAAAAAATTAAGTGGGTGGGGGGTAGTGGAAAGAACATGGGCTTTAGAGCTGAAAGATTTGGGTTCAAATTCTGGTTCTGCAATTTACTGGCTGTGTGATCTTGGGGAAGTGACTTAACCATTCTGAGCCTCAGTTTCCTTACTTATAATGTGCGGACATAACCCCACCTCTAAAGGTTGTCCTAAGATGAAGCAAAATCGAGTCTGTGCTCTGAGTACCTGGTACATCTTAGTTCCCTTTCCTTTGGTTTTCAACAGTGACATAAAATATTCTACAGGGACAGAGCCAAAGCCTCGTGGGGCTTATGCACCCCCTCAGGGCTGCCTTGGCGGGTAGGCACAGACACTTCTCTAGAATGCAGAGTATACCAAACTTCACCCAGGAAGGACCTTAGCTTGCCAGAGGGTGGACAGCTTGCCAGCAGGGGCTGGACACTCATTCCCCGTTCTTCTGGGAGCCTGTGCTTCAGGGATCTGTTAGCAGCAAACAACGGCCAGGTCACCCCGGCATTTCAAATAGACATGTGTGAACTGTGGGCAAAGAAATCATCAGAACACTCCAGACTGAGGGATTAGGGAACTGGACTGCAGGTGGGAGAGAGTAATAAGGAAGGCAGGAAGGTCTAAGCTGTGATTAAAAAAGTAACGAAGGTTTTGTTCTTGTTTTGTGGGGGAGCTAAATTTATTGAGCTCTTCCAGTATATTTCGACTAAGGAGGACACAAGCCAAGAGGTACTGACAGCTATTTTTACCATCGCCTGGGAAAGACTACTCAGAGAAAGTAGAGCCAAGAGAGTGCATTCCAGGTTCTTGGTGATATCATTTGAGTGACTGGATCCAGCTGTACCTGAACTGAGTGAGATCTATCCCCGACTTTTTAATTTTTTTTTTGATTTATTTATTTTTTTCCCCCCAAAGCCCCAGTAGATAGTTGTATGTCATAGCTGCACATCCTTCTAGTTGCTGTATGTGGGACATGGACTCAGCATGGCGGGAGAAGCAGTGCGTCGGTGTGTGCCCGGGATCCGAACCCGGGCTGCCAGCAGTGGAGCGCAAGCACTTAACCACTAAGCCACGGGGCCGGCCCATCTCTGGAAACCAATAAATTATCTTTTGCATTTATGCCGGTTTCTTTGGGCTTCTGTCACTTGCCATTGAAAGACAAATACACCCTGGTGGAACCTTGAAATCCTTTACTGCCTATTTGTGCCCCCATCATGTAAAGTAACTTTTCCTTGTCTATATAATGGGTATAATCACCCTTCCCAGGCATTGGGCCTGCCCCATGTAAGGAGCATAATAAAGCTTGGTTGAAATTAAATATGAAATTTCATGAGATATAAAATTAACACATTGTTACCTAGGAAAATATACTTACCATCCTCTTTTGGGGAGGTTTGAGGAGATTAAATTTTCAGAGATTTATTTCTTCTTTCAAAAAAAGTTATTGAGTGTTAAGCACAATGAGGTCAGTGGTTCTCAAGCTGGTGCATTAGAATTCCCTACAGTCTTTAAAAATACACCTGCTGATGTCTGGGCCCACCCCAGGGATTAGGATTCAATTGGCCTGGGGTGGGGCCCGGGCATCGTGGTTTTAAAAGCTCCTCGGGTGATTCTGATGTGTAGTTAAGGCTGGCAACCAGGGTGCAGGAGCTGGGACCACAGCAGCGAGTGACCCAGACACGTCCTTGCCCTTGTGAAGGCACCTCGTGAGGGAAACAGTCGGCAATCAGGTGAGACAAGTGTCACAAGGAAAGGACAGTGGGGCATAGGAGAGTAAGACAGGCACTTGTGCAGTCTGAGGGTTGGAGAAGACTTCCCTGAGGAAGTGAAATTTATGCTGAGACCTGAAGGAAGAGTACGAGTTAGCAGCGTGAAAGGGAGGCGGGAGGAAAGAACGTTCCACACAGAGGGGGTAGCATATGCAAAGGCCCCGTGCCAGGAAACTGCAGAGAGTTTTCCAGGAACACAAAGATGACCCACAAGGCTGGAAGGTGAGGGAAGCAGTGGTGCCAGACGTGTGAAGCCACTGGAATTTGGGACTTGTTTGCTACTGCAGCATAAGCCTGGCCTTGCTGACTAATACAAGTAGTTACAGTAGAAAGACACAGGGCTGAGCCCAGCCTGGATTCAGCTGAGGAGGGCGGGTAAGTTGGGAGAAAACGGAGGTTGCAAAAGTGTTGACAATGCTTTAAAAAAAATCTGGTCGGGAAGAGGAGGAGAGAGCTAGGGTGGTCAAGTGAAGGGGGCATTTATTTCATTTTAAAGAAGGGAATCATGTAAACCTCCTAAATGCTGACAGGAAGGAGTCAGGAAAGAAGGAGAGGACAGAAACAGGAGAAGGGAAAAAATAAAAGCTAAGCCAGGTTCCTGAATGGTGGGAGAGTGGAGGGATGGCACCCAGGACACGGGGTCGGGGAGGGCCTGGCCTCAGCAGAGACACCGAAGAGCTGCCGGGAGAGGCACACAAAGCGACGACCTCTGGCTGAGAACAGAACAGTGCTGAATTAGCACGAGAGAGGCCTGGGGCCTCCCACACGGGTCAGGCGAGCAAAGCACCTTGATCCCTGCGGATCTGGACATTTGCTTCCTCCTTCCCAAGACTACCAGATCCCATCACCCCTCCCCCACCACTGGAGGACCATTTGCCCACGACAGAAAACAAAGTAAATTGTCAAATCACATTGGTTCTATTTCAGGAGTCTTTTCTTAAATCATTTAAAATCCCATAGGCAGCATTTTCCAATGTCTACATACCATCCTACAAAACCATTTCCCAGAGATGGGACATGTGGCCTGCTTCTGAGATTCCCTATTATAAACAACGCTTGGATGGACATCCTATTGCATATATCCTTTTCATGTTTCTAATTATTTCCTTAGGACAGGTTCCTAGAACTGAAATTCTGGGTCAGAGGGTAGCAACATTTTTAAGCTTCTCTATACATCCTGCCGAACTGCGTCCTGGAAGTGTGTCCATACTTTTTCTCCCACTAGCACTGTGTGGGAGCAGACTGCAGTAAGCGCGATTGTTGAACTGGGGAGGGAGCGAGGGGCAGAGACGAGAGAGGTGTGGCCCTGAAAGGGAAAGTGCACCACAAATCACAGCAGAAACCAGGGGAGGAGGCGTGGTAACCCCCTGGCCCACTGCAGACACCTGAGAAATGGCTGCTGCATGAGAAACACATCCACCGCCACGTGTTTCTGCATTCCTATCACGGGTCCAACACAAGTGACAAGGAGGGAGACGGAAAAGAAAAAGCGCGGGATTATGGGATGAAACATGTCAAGGGGGTGCGCCGGAGTCAAAACTAAACACCACCCCATGGTCAATACAGCAAGTTTTCTCAGGATGGTCTGACCCATGCTTACGATGATCATCTACAGACCTCCCTCCCCCACAAGACCAGTTCCAACACACTTCAGCTCCTAAATCCAGGCAGCTGGGAAGATGCGGGAGGGAAAAGTCAGGGGTGTATTAAGTGCCGGTCCCCAGCATTGTCCAGGCAAGGGCAGCGACATTACCTAAGGAGAAGCTGTGCCTCTCACTGCCTCTTCTCTGCCAGGAGCCGGAGAAAAAAGACTGGGCCTCTGCGACAGAGGTGAAAGGCAGTTCCCCGCCCCAGAGAGCTGCAGCGGTTTGCGGCGGATGTGCTGTCCCTCCGCTGGGATGATTTTCCATAAGCGACTCCTGGTTGCACCCCGATTCCCAATGGGCAGGAGCAGCCCCAAGTGGCCGAGATGGGCTGAGTGGGGCCTGCAGGAGGCTCTGGGCACACACAGGCGTACACGTGTGATGGAATTGATGCATCGGGCCCTGGGGCCCCCCAGGGACTGCATGGCCAGGGAGGGCAGGCATGACATCACAGTCACCCCGGTCTGTGAAGTCACCGAGTTCCAGGGCCTTTCTTCTGCTTTGGGTGCTGTTTTTTTGGTCATTTGCCTTCAAAGAGGACGTGAGGGATGAACAGGCAGAGAAGAGTGGACGGGGGAAGCCAGCCTGTAGCTCTTCAACACACACTCCTCCACTCCCCATGACCCCTGCTAATGATGACGAACTGAGCCAAGGAGCCTTCAGAGTCACAGGTGACTTGAAACTCACGCGGCTCTACACTCACATTTGAAATGGGCTTCGGAGAATCCAGACTTCGAACACCAGATGGGGTGTTGCGGAGGAGGAGGCGATGTCCTGGTTTCACCAACTTGGACTGGCGGCTGCTTTCTCTCCTCTTCACGCAGATTTGCCAAGGCCTGTCTCACACTTCTGAAGCCGAACTACAGCCGGATTCCAAGGGAAACAGGGCTTGGTTGGGATATGCAACGTGAAGGGCTTGTGAAATCCACAGAGAACGTACTTAAGGATCCAACACTTAGCTAGCACTTGCTACGTGCAAGGCTCTTTTGTAAGCACTTTACAAATCTTAATAATTTAATTCTCTTCACAACCCTATGAGGTAGGTATTATCATTATTTCAATTTTACAGATGAGGAAACTCAGCCACAGAGAGGCTGAGTGACTTGCTCAAGTTCACACAGCCAGGACGCGGCAGAGATTTGAACCCAGGCCACCTAGCTCTAGAGTGTGTTCATGAAACCTCACAGCCAATGAAACTGTAGGACAAATTGTCTCAAGGCAGATAACCCTCCCGGAGGTGAGAGCCGAGTTCTCTTTCCCACCGGTTTGTATTATTCATCGCTAAAGACTAAAGTGGGTAGGTTGAGGTCCCATGCCAGGGTGACACTGGTGGAGTCGATGAACAGCTGCGGTCTGTTTTGCAGAGGTGAGAGAGGCTTTAATGAGAGAGGATTGGATTACCTTTTACGGGGGGAACCCAGAACCACACAGAGCCAGAGAGCTGGCTGGCTCTGGGCATCCCCCCAGTGCCCTCAAGTAAGGCCAGACAGCCAGACCACCTCCAGGCCGCCCTTCCCCAGGCATGACATGTGCCCTTGAATTTAGGAGTAAACCCTATGGGGCTTCTGGGCTAAACCAGCCACGGAGGGGCCACTGCTGACCTGGTGGTGGCCAGACTGGGGTCGGGGAGCTCCCTGCTTGGTGCTCCCCCAAAACCTCATCCAGACCCTGTGTCCCTTTGTTCTGCAACTGCGTCTAGTTCTCTGACCGTCAAAGGCTCTCAGAGGGCGGGGCCTTTGTCTCATTCACATCTGCTGGTTTAGCCACAGTCTCTAACTCGCCCTTTGCTGACTCCGTTGATCATTTTGCTTGACCCAAGTCCAATTCAGGATTTGAAACTGAGTTTAGATAACTCCATTCTTTGTTTCTGGCCCCCAGAAGTGTCTCCTGATGGTTCCAGAACCTGCCCTAGCCTGACCTGACTTCCTGGTGGAGATCCAGTGCCAACGTCAGCCCCACCTCTGGACCATGTTCCCATCCCATTCTCAGTGAAAAACCCTGAGTCATGATAAAAGATAATCAATGCTGGAGAGAAGGCTTCAGGTGACACCTGTTCTAGGTGTTCTCTTTCAAGAGAGTCTTTGTATATCTAGGTGCCTCAACATAATAACATAATAACTTCATTGTATAGGTAAAATATAAAACTGTCTTGTAAAACCAGCGTGTGTGTGTGTTTCCTCCCTAGCTAGACTCTAAGCTTCTCAGGGACCAGGACTGAGTGGTTCCCAAGTGGCCTGGTGCCTGGCACACAGCAGGCACCCAATTGGACATGCTGGACCTTTTCAAACTTTAAGGCATAACTTGTTCGGACAGTTTCGCTGGGTAATTTGATAAAACATCCCTAGTTAAAAGATGGCAATCGATAAGCATCAGATGAAAGGAACCCTCAAAGAGCAAAATATCAGGCCTTTGGAACGAGAGTCAGAGTCGCTCAGAATCAGCCACTACACAGAGCCAGAGAGAGGACTCGGCGAGTGCCCGTCAGTCAGAAACATGTACTGAGGGTCATGGGCTTAGGGGCTTTGAACTTCCCTAAGGGGACTCTTGCAGTCCCTGCTCCTTACTTCCAGCAGGATGGCCCCAGAATACTCCAAAGACACACCACACCCCTTTCCCCAAGGTCTCAAAATCCCCACCTCAGGAAGTTCTTCCTGCTGTCCACTTGAATTCCTCCAGATAGAGTTTAAACCAGTCAAACAGCCCATGAGGATAAAACAGTTTTAACATTTCTAAATTAGTAACCCACACTTGAAAATAGGGATATTTAATTGAAGTACAATTTCTGATTTATCTTGAAAAGCTGGGATGATCTGGCCACGCTGGGCCCACAGTCCCACGAGACACTATCATTGGCTGGGGTTCCCCCCAGCACCACCCCTATGTGGGCATTGGTGACATGGCGCTCGTTTGGGCTGTTTGTACTTTGTCCCTTGGGGTAACAAGTGACCTGTTGTCACCCATTCAACTAAGCAATCCGGGAACCCCAGCTTTCCGTCACGCCCAGTGACCATGGGCTTCCTCCAGGACATGCTGTCCTGACAGGTCGTCAGGCAGGAAGGCCGGGGCGGCTGCGCTTTCAGAGCTGGAGGGTGTGCACCGAGAATGGTGAGCAGCCTCCACGCTCTGACCCAGTTGGTCCTCTAGGACACACTCCCAAAATGGCGGCCAGGGCATCAGATCTGGGTCTGGAGAAGAGAATTTTTCTGCAAGAGATGTTGACCGCCCATTCCAGAAGAGAAAACTTCCCACAGCCTGCTCTGCACCGGCTCTCACCGAGTGAGACGTGCTCCAAATTTACGCACAAATCTAAACGGAGAAGCACGAAAAGGTGCTTGGCCCAATTCTTTTCATTATAAAGCCTACTATGAGGAAAACTAAAGGGAAATTATGCCTAAACTTTCATTTAAAAGTTGGGGAGAGGAGGAAGGAGTAAAAATCTTTGCAATCAGATTTTTCTCACATTCAGATTTATTCCTTATTCAATGTTAGCGGCTTGTTCATCCTGCTGTATAACAATTGTGCAAAGATGCATACACTCACCACCTGCTGGCCTTTTTGATGTTCATTATGAATTTAATTATTATTAAGTACCCGCAGTGTGTCAGGTGCTAACCGGCAGATGAGGGGCGGGACGGCATGAAGGGTCCATGTCGCCCGTCAGCTGTTAACATAACCGCTCAGCTGCCAACGTGCCCAGGCCTGGCAGCTGGCTCCTGCAGAGTCAGCACCACTGTCTCGGGGACTTCAGATATGTCCTCTGTGGGTCAGGGTGTGACTGAGGAGGGCATGTCTGCGGATTCCCAGGCACTGGGAGGTGTCTGGAGGTGAAGGGGCCTGTGCAGCCACCCCATACCTTGCCAGGCAGCTGGTCAGCAGTGTCGAGTACCAGACAGGTGACAGGAGGGCAGAGGGCTGGGGGAAAAGCCAAATCCATCGCCCACAAAACTCAACAAAGGGGCCTGAGGCCTAAGATCTGTACAAAGCACGTGCACTGCACATCGTACTGCAGGTGCTGACAGAGGCCGGGAAGAACGTGCCCGGCATCTGTGTTCTCCGCCTACAGCTCATCTGGAAGGTTCCCCATCTAAGGGAGCCAGGTGCCCAGGCTAGCCCATAAAGGCCTAGTAACACAGCATGTGTCTGAGATAGACCTTAGTAGCCTTGAGCTGCCAGGCCCCTCTTGAGCCCATTTAAGCCCTTCTGAGCTTTACGCCCCACGTGCCCCTACTGGAGCCCAGCAGTGGGGGAAGGTGGGCAGGGGGAGGGAAGAAGGCAGGGGCTGCCCTTTTCTCCAGTTCTTGGTGAGTCCTGGCAAGCTTGATCTAAGTGGAAACCCAGTCAATCTGAGGAGAACTGGCTCCAGGCGGAGGGAGGGGCGCCCAGGGTGAGGATGGAGGGGCGGCACAGGCGGGGGGTGGGGGGTTGGTGTCGCTCTCAGGTGGAGGGAGCAGCAAAGACTGAAAAGCACCAGGAGGTGGGAAATGGAGGTGATGAGATGAATGTTTTCAAAATAATATCTGTGTTATTTTCTGACTATAAAAGTAATTCATGCTGCTGTCTGAATTTTTGATAATGAGAATCTATTCATGTATTACTTATATAATAATAATAATAATAAATTTTAGCCACACACAAAAGAAATATGGACCTATTGAATTTGGAAAAAATGCAAGTACAGAAAGTAGACAGTGAGAGTCCCTGTGTAACCCACCATCAGTTCTACAACCTGCCCTCTAAAAGCTTAATAATGCAGTGGCGTGTTTCCAGGTGGACCGTGATGACAGGCTATCACGGTAGGTGTTCAGTAGAGTAACTAAGGGCCAGTCACCCGCTGTGCTCTGCGCTTTACACACATCACTGCCACTCCTTCAGCAGCCCTGAAAAAGAAGTGCTATTATTCCCATTTTTCAGATGAGAAACCAGGATCAGAAAGTTTGAGCTACTTACCCAAGGTCACACCACTAGGAGGGGGCAGCCAAGAGTCAACTCTGGTCAGCCCTCCTCCAAGGCCTGGGCCCTTTCCACCACATCTCATCCACAATCCAGGACAGCAGGAAGAGGTGGGTAAATTGCATCTCATCTCTATTTCTTGAGTAAGACATGATAACGATAAAATGATTTAAACAATACTTGGGGGAAAAGTGTTTGAGTGGCTAAGAACAGGCAGGTGTAGGGAGAGACAAGCATCAAGGAGCCCCCTGGCAGCTTTTGTGCTAATAGTGGCATGGGCTGACTCTGGAAAAGGAAGGTGACTCCAGGAGACAGTAAGGGAGGAAACGGCCGAAGTGGACAGAAAAATGAAGGAGTCCGGAATCAGCCCACTCCAGGGTCTCCTGGGACCACCACATGGGTGGGCTGAGCAGACTGGCAGTTCTGCGGCTCTTT